CCCCCCCCCCGCCCTCGCAAATTTTCTCACCCTTCCTCGGTTTTAACTTTTAAATGGTAGTTTTCTTAATGAGGGCTGCAGGGAGGGCAAATGGTGGAAGGAAAGGCCAAGTGTGGGGACCCCGGGGAATGACGACCCGGGACAGCACAGCATCCGGCAGGCAAGATTGAGGTGAACTACCAGAAACCAGGGGAGAACCCGTTCATTCACGAGCGGCGGCCACCGCTTCTCACTCTTGGCAGCCCAGTGTCGCCCTTTCTCTTCCCCAAGCCTTGAGAAAGGTGGGTCTTAAACCTTCCGCCCAAGGGCTTCACTAGCTGTTCTGTGTTGCTGGGTCTCAGTGAGAACTGCGTAGCAACCTGCTTCGCCTTGTGGCGAAGAGACCCTGGGGCATCTGACAGCCCAGTGTAGGAGAACAGGACTAGGTCAGCCTTTTCCCACCCCCGAAAAAGACTGCCCTTTTCTCTGCTTTGTGGGGGTGGAGCCATCTGTGGCTAAGCCCTGGGAAGCCCGTAGAATATGGCATTGGCTCAATATTGCTTCTTTTCAGGCGCTGCCTCCAGACTCTTCTCCGTGTGCCCCCACCCCTCCACCTGGGCAAGCTTGCTTGTTAAACCCCTATCACCTGCTTGTGGGCTAATCCTGAAGAATGAGGAGGTCCTGGATTTCTCAGCTCTGAGTTCATCCACGCTCATATCTCGGGATTGCCTGCTACCCAGTAACCTGGGCAAGGAGTTCTTGAATTCCTGGAAACAGTTCTGTTGTAGGAAAGCTGGATTCCCCATTGTTTACCAAGACCTTTTGATCATGCATTTGCAGTCAAATGACAACTTTAATCGTTCATATGCTGCCTTAAAATTACGTAGTAAATGGCGGAGCCAAGATGTGAACACTGGGAGAGGGCAGATGTGTAGGAACTTGAGCATGGAAGTGATTCCCCAGTTTGCTCCCAGTGGATGAGAATTCAGGTTTCACTCATGTACTTCAAAAGTCATTTACTAGGATGCTTATCTACTACTGCTCTACCATACTAAGCATAGATGCTTGGATGGACAGCTATAGACATAAAGATGTCTGTCTGGATCTGTCCTCGTTCAGTCTTTGTTTATCAAGTGAAGTAATTGCCAGAGTTGTCTCCATTTTACAGATGGAGGTACTGAGCACAGGCGGGCAAATAACACGTTCAAGGTGGTACGTCCACAAAGCAACAGAGCCAACATTTCAGTCTGGTCTCCTTACCCTGAGCCCAGTGTTTTCATCGCTAACGGAAATGTCCATTGTGTCTGCACTGCAGAGAGTAAATGGCAGAAGCAAAGTTGGGGGAAAGACTGTATTAAAAAGTTCAGTCAAGGCTATATGAGAGAAATAGAACGAAGGGTGGGAGAGGAGGGGCTGAGAAAATACATTCTTTAACTTGTTTACTCACCATAACTAAGCAAGAGAAAGAATGAGAGAAATGGAGGTAGATCAACCCTGATACCAGGCTTTATCTGGGCTCTTGAGCGGCTCCTTTTGCTCTCTTTACTAAAGCTTCATTTGTACATCATCAGCAGCCTCCCCCCTTAGAGATCCAGGGAATGTAAACCTATCCTGATAGGGATCTGTGGAGGAGAATCAGAAGCTTCCTGGTGGGAGGTTCCTCTCCTGGCCACAGCTGACATTGAGCCGGTAGCACGCCAGAGGACACCCTGGCCACAGTCTGATAGCACCCTGGAGTACATGGCTGCCCCTACCTCCTCAGGCAAAAGAGGGGTCTGCCCAGACTGGTTTCCTGCCAGTGTAGGCAAACTCAGGCCCCATCTGTTCACTCCAGGCACTGCAAACGAAAGGTTATGCCCCCATACTGTGTCGGTGGATGGAAGGGTGGGCTACCTCGGATCAAACCAGTACTGAGTAAGGAGGTTGTCTCCCAGGAAATATTTGCGAGTGATGGATGAACACGAACATGCCAGGCTTGGTGTTGGAGTTCTAGACGGGGCTGCTTTGCCCTCTGTAGGCCCGCTGAGCTGAGCGAGCACCGTAGAAGCTACAGACTAGACTGAGGAGGCTGTGGGGCCATGGCAGCACATGGCCCTTCTGAACTGTGAGTGGCGCTGAAACCTCTAATCCTGTGACCTGAGTATCATTTAGCCATCGCCTGTTGCTCTTCGTGGCCCTGGTTCCGACAGCTTCCTTGATTTGGAATGGTGCAACCAGGAAACGAAGAGAAGAAGAGTGCTTAAACTGTGAGAGGAAGAGAAGGAAGAAACACTGAGTCGAGAATGTTTCCACTTATGGTTTCAGAGAGAGACTGGTGCCATGAAGTGATGAGGCAAGGCCCTTGTCAGCAACATGGTACCTGCCCTGAGATTGGGAGACCTGAGTTCTGGTTTTTCTGCCACTGACTAGACAATGTGACAGATCTTAAACCAGCTCTAAACAGTTTAAGAAAATAGACTAGAATGTTCCTTCCAGCTCTTTCCGGCTCTCATAGTCCCTGATTCCCACCTCTTCTCAGATACGTAGCTCTGTGGAGAAAGTTGATCCATTGGGATAGTAGCCAAGTCTTGGAAATGAGCCACAAAGTTGAAGAGAACGCTTCCTTTAGTTTAACTTAGAGATCTACATTGCCAGAGCAGAGTAGATCGCACTTTGTCTTCCGAGCTACTGAAAAGGCTCATAGATCACAGAATATTAAAGATACCTTGGAGATCAGCTGGACTCAACCTCCCACTAATATCATTAATCAAGTTCAGAGACGCTTAGTGACTTACGTAAAGCCACACGACTAGTACCAGAGTCTGTCATTTCTGAGTTCCTTCCCTCAATCAGGACGACAGTGTTTTGGCATTTAAGCCTGGGGCTTGAAGATTTTTCCGAACACCTGTCTTCTGTCGTCTTATGTGCAGGTGGTATCCTTAGACCTTGTTGGACTGGGACAAAGATAGGTCTTCACTAGAGCCAGTCTGCCATTCTGAGTGACTTTGGAATCGTAATAAGAAATGAAAGAAATGGTCATTCAGGGGACTGACTCTAAGAGGACCCTGGACTACCTCACTCAGCCAGGATAATTGGGCTCCTGGTAAATCCCAGAGCAGACTACTCCCCACCCTGACGTGGATCCCTGAGGCATTATCTTGAACAGCCACTAGATGTCCATAATGCCTCATAGGGTTTGCCAGGAGTGAGCAGTCTTCGGCAGGGTACTACTCTGGCCCCCGATAGGCTTTTGGGCCCCTTAAGGTAGGTCCCTCAGTGGTAGAAAGATCACATATGCTCTGAAACCCTGGTTCCTGTTTTCAATACTGTTGGGCTGCCAACCCTACTTAAGCACTTTTTCCATGTTTATAGTTTTTATTCTTCCATGTGAGTGAGGAACCGAGCAAGAGCAGACAGGAGGAGAAGGTATTTGGAAAACAAGAGGAAAGGAAAAGAAAAAAAATAGCATGGAAATCATCCTCCACAAAGAGAAGGAAAGACATCAGTTGATTGGTGAATCAGCAACAACAAAATAGTGTAAGAAACAGTCTGTATGGAAGTAGTCACCTCCTCCTACCCAAGGCAATGAACACATGTTGTCTACCCGCGCCCTCCTGCGTTTGCATCTCTCACTCCCACCCGTGTATGCAAATACCCCTTCAGGGTCAGTAGGTCATGAAATTTCTG